TTTACGCTTCGTATGGAACCAAAGAACCCCGATATCAAGACAGCAATTCTAGCAACAACAAATGGAGGCATTAAATGCCAGATTCAACTATACCACAAGCTGTAGTAATTAAAATATGTATGTCACAAAACAGGAATATTGACCAGTGGACAGATGTGAGAATCCTGATATAAAACCCTCCTCATATAGCCATCTCATCTTTGACAAAAGCAGACAAAAACATACGCTGGGGAAAGAATCCCTTTTCAATAAATGGTGCTGGGAAAACTGGATAGCCACCTGTAGAAGGCTAAAACAGGACCACACCTTTCACGTCTCACAAAAACCACTCACGCTGGATAACAGACTTAACCTAAGATATGAAACTATTAGAATTCTAGAGGAAAAAGTTGAAAACTCTCCTAGACATCGGCCTGGCAAGAGTTTATGAAGAAGTCCCAAAGGCAATCACAGCAGCAACAAAAAAATAAATGGACATGATCAAGCACAAAGCTCTGCGCAGCAAAGAATAGTCATGAAAGTAAACAGACAACCTACAGAATGAGAGAAATTTTTGCATCCTATGCATCCGATAAGGGACTGATAACTAGAATATACTTAGAACTCAGAAAATTAGGAAGAAAAATCAAATAACCATTAAAAAGTGGGCAAAAGACTTGAACAGAAATTTTTCTAAAGAAGACAGAAGAATGGCCAACAAACATATGAAGAAATGCTCAACATCTCTAATCATCAGGGAAATGCAAATCAAAACCACAATGAGGTATCACTTAACCCCAGTGAGAATGGCCTTTATCAAAAAATCTCCAAACAATAAATGCTGGCGTGGTTGCGGAGAGAGAGGAACACTCCTACACTGCTGGTGGACTGCAACTAGTTCAACCTCTGTGGAAAGCAATATGGAGATACCTTAAAGCGATACAACTGAATCTACCATTTGATCCCATTGCTGGGCATCTACCCAAATGATCCAGGACACTCTACAAAAAAGACACCTGCACTCGAATGTTTATAGCAGCACAATTCATAATTGCAAGGCTGTGGAAACAGCCCAAGTGCCATCAATCAAAATGGATTAATAAAATGTGGTATATGTATACCATGGAGTACTATTCAGCTCTAAGAAACAATGGTGATATAGCACATCTTATATTTTCCTGGTTAGAGCTGAACCCATACTACTAAGTGAAGTATCCCAAGAATGGAAAACAAGCACAGATATATTCTCCAGAAAACTGGTGTTAATTGACTAGCACCTAAGTGGACACATAGTACTACAGTATAGGGTATTGGGCAGGTGGGAGGGGGGAGGGGGGGGGGTGGTATATACATACAATATGAGTGAGATGTGCACCATCTGGGGATGGTCATGATGGAGACTCAGACTTTTGGGGGAGGGAATGGGCATTTATTGAAACCTTAAAATCTGTACCCCCATAATATGCCAAAATAAAAAAAATACTCATCAGCCAGATTTATCTGATCATTGAAGATCATCAAGATTTTGCTACATTTATTTATCTTTTGTTTGGTTTTCTTTTTTATAATTTTTGAAGTTTTTTTTTTTTTTAATTCTTAAAGTTCAGGAAAATCCCAGATTATCATGTTAGTCACTCCTATGTCTTTTAAAATGCATCTAAATAAGGTCATTTTCTTACATATTATAGCACATTCGACAAAACTAAGATTAATTCCTTGATACCATCGAATGCCCTATCTGCAATCTAATTATTCCAGTCGTCCCAAAGGCTAGGGGAGTACTGCCCGATCATAACTTATAACTTAACATAAATTCCACAGGTTGCATTTAGTTCAGTTCCTTAAAAGTTTTGATTTTGAATCTAGAGCAAACTCTTTCCCTTTGGGCCCCTTTTGATGTCATTGACTTGTGCAGAAACTGGGTCATGTTCTGCAGAATGTGCCACATTCTAGATTTGTCTCTTTGCTTCCCTTTGATGTTTAGTTTGTTTTCTCTATTTCTCACAAATTGAAGTTAGCTTTAGACTAGGGCTTGATTATATTTAGGTTCAATTTTTGGGGGGCCAAGAATATTAAAAAATAATTCTAGATGTTTCATAAAAAGGCCACAGGTTGTCCTACTTCTGGTGGTGCTGAAATTGAGTAGTTCCAGGAGCAGATAGCCTTCCATGATGATCATTGTTGGATATTATTGTTTTAGTAGTGGGTAAAACAATACCCACATTTCTATCCTTCCCTTTTTACAAAAAGTGACTTTACTGAAGTGTAATTGACACATAATAAACTGCACAAGTTTAAAAGGTACAATTTGAAACGTTGACACATAATAAACTGCACAAGTTTAAAAGGTACAATTTGAAACGTTGATGTAGGTATACCTGTGAAACCATCATTGCACTCAAGAAAATGAGTATATTCATCACCCTTGAAAAGTTGCCTCATGTCTCTCAGTAACCCTTCCCCTGTCTCTCTCTACTTCCATGCCAAGGCAGCCACCGATATGCTTTCTGTCATTATAGATTAATTTCTGTATTTCATGTTTGTCTCTAGTATGCATCTTTATGAAGTGAAACAGTAGTTGTTTACAAAATAAAATTTTAGAATAATCATTTATCACTTAACATAATTCTAAAAATTAAAAAAAAATCCATCTTGTTATGTGAAAAACACATTGAGCTTTCTGCTAAGTGGGTAATGCATGATAGATACAGCAAACAGGAATTAAATAGTTCTAGAGCTTCCCAACACTTCTTGAGCATTAGCATGTCCCCATGAAAATTACTTGATTGACATTCTTTTCCCCCCATACAATTTTTACAGATCTTCAGGATCTGAAAGATAATAACAAGACAGTTTTATTTCATTTCGCTTTATTACATTAACTACCCAGATCTGGCTGCTTGCTTTACAATAAATATACAGGATAATTACTGGCATCTACATTAAGCAGTTTTCTTCTTTACTCAGACTATAAGAGTAAATTTATATATAAAGGTCTTTCCCTTCTAGTTCAGAGATTTCAATTTATCTTTTTATCTTATGAAGAGCAGAGTCCAGTGTGTCTTTATTTGGTGTGCACACGAACTATGAACCTGATTCAATAGGGCCAATGACTTGTAGGCAGTCCACCTCAATTCTTAGCTCAAGGAATACATTTTAGTCAAAGATGTAGCTCATGTAAATTGGTGTGCTATCCTGAAAAGACATAAATGTGGCGAGGGGCAAATGAAATAAAACAACTGTTGGAAAAGATGATCTGACAGTAAAGTAGAAAAGAAGTAATTTCGAAATGAGTGTAACATGAATATGATGGCAACCTAATTTTTAAAATTCCCTTTACAAAAGGGACACAGGAGGTTGACCAATGTAAGGATGGGGCCACAAGCTAAGGAATGCAGTAGGTCTCTAGAACTTGATACAAGCAGTCTCAGCACTGCTTGGGCTGCCGTAATAGAATATCAGAGGCTGGGTGGCTTAAACAAATAAATTTATTTTCTTATTGTTCTGGGTGCTATAGTTCTATAGTTCTGGGTCCTAGATCAAATTGCCAAAAATGTACGAAAAGGGTTATGTTCATTTCCTATTGCTGCTCTAACAAACTTAGATGGTTAGTTTCAGGTAAGGCCTTTCCCTAGCTTGTAAATGGCCGCCTCCTAGCTGAGTCCTCACAGAGCCTTCCCTTGGTACATGGTTCTTTCTTTTCTCTTCCTCTTTTCATAATGTCACAAATCCTGTCAGATAATAGTCCTACCCTTATAATCGCACTGAACCTTAATTGTCTCTTAAATATTTTATCTATAGATATGATCAAAATGTTATTTTTGGGGGGGACGGCGGTAGGGGACACATTTCAGTCCATAGTAATCCAAGAAACAGATTCTTCCCTGAAAATTCCAGAATTTTGAGTGGAAGGAGTGCAGCCTTGCCGATACATTGATTTTAGATTTCTGAACTCCAGACTTAGAATAAATTTCTGCTGTAAGTCACCAAGTTTGTGGTAATTTGTTAGAACAGCTATAGGAAACTAATATCCCCTTCTCATATTTTTTAGTAACCTTTCAGTGACAGATGAGTGACCTTTGAAATTCCACCTTTTCTAGGAAAACTTGTCTTCTATGCGAGTATGTCTTCTATGTGCCATTCTGAGTGAGCCCTGGGCTCGAATCTACCCTCTGGAGCCCTGCACGGCGTCAGTGGAGTGCTTGGAGGTCCAGAGCTTGGCAGAAGCTTTTGTGGTGGAAAGTTGCTTTGCACTCACTCACCTCTCTGTCGCACTTTATTTTGGGAGCCTGCAGACTTTTTCTGCCAGTTCAGCAATGCTTTTTACAGAGCATGTTTAATTATTCTATCCAGTATCTTAGCTGTTCAATCAGGTAGGGTTTTTAGGGAGTGGAGTCTGTCATACTACAGGAAATGGAAGTCTAGAGAACCTTCACAATTATTTTCAAAGTATTCCTCCCCCTTTGTGGCAGGGTGACAGGTGTCTCCACTTTAGGTCTTCCTCATTGGCCCTCTGAAACTGGGCCGTTCTAAAGCCAGGGTTCCTCAGTCTCATATATGGAAAGACATAGAGAACTTAAATACTGATGACTTGTATCATTGGCTTCTTAGAGACTGTTTTTCTAAACAGCTCATTATCTGCTATTCATAAAGCATTTCCTGAGAGGGAAGAATTTGGCAGTAAAGTTGAACTTGAGGAAATGACTATTGACACTGACCCTGTTTATACTCCTCTATCGTAATTATCTGGTAGATAATTTTTAAAGCTTTTAGTAGTGTTTTTTCTTCTACATGCAGAGAAGTCAGGAATGTGGACATGCGTTCTGCCTGCTGTCGCCCTGCCTCTCTCAGAAGCTTTCTCTTTTCTGCCTTTTTTGGTGTCTGTGTTCTCAGCTAATTTGTTTAGGAATAGTCTGTGTGTAACTCTGTCAGGAAAAATTACCCTGGAAATCATAGAAAGAAATGAAGGAGGGGGAGGAGCAGGAAGTAAATCAGTTGGATGGTTGTTTTTCTTATCCCACCTGGAATCATCTCCGTTAGCAAGGAGAACGGAGTTTCTTCTCATGGTCACCACCACCTTAGAGCCAAGCATGGTACTGCCAAGAGTTGCATTTTAAGCATTTTTGCCCATAAGAGTATATTTGGTGATTCCTTTAAAAAAGAAATCAGTATGGTTGAGTCACAGATAATGTAGCTTAAAAAATGCATTTTCTATAACTATGTCAGGACAAGCCTCTAAAATTTTTGAGAAATAGAGGATAAAACCTATTAATAGTTGAATGGAGTCAGAACGTTCCCATTTTAAATGCCACGTGGCAAAAGTCAAATCAATGTTTGGTGTTATTTGATTGCAGAAGGTTTAGTGACATAAGCTGGGAACATGGAAACAACGTAAGTGAATATACCTTTTTTTGGGTGAAAAGAATATTTTCTCTGGAAAATCAAGGCAATTAAAATGAGAAGAAATGCTGCAGTTTAAATGTGTATGTGTCAATAAAATTTAAGGGGAAACCTAAATGCGGGCTTACAATTTGTTTTACCATGATTGTCAGAAAAGTGACTACATTCTCAATTTATTATATATTGATGAAGCATTTTGAAAAAGAATTGTTGCTGTGGCAACTATGTATATTTCTTTAAAAGCTACTATATGGTATAATTATTGGCTTTTAATCTTGTTCTACAGTGACTATAAAAGATTATATACAATTTTTCAAAGTTCTCATTTTGTGATTTAAGCTCACTGAAAACTCTTTATTAACTAGAAAAAATTAGTTTCCTGAATTTTTTTCTTATATCATGAATTTTCTATGAATCTACCTTGTCCTTTTAGATGCTTTTTAAAAATTTCTCATCTAAGTAGCTCTATGATTTCTAGTGTTCTTGTAATGCTGAACACTATACTATCAAATACGATATTTTACTGCCTGTTTGGGAAAATGTTTTATTTGTTATGTCCTTTATGATTTGAGTTAATCAAAACTGAAGGCAGTGGTCAGGAAAAGGCTTTAGATGATTTCAGCATAATGCTGAAATAATTCTACTACTTTTTACATCAAGTTTTCAGTACAGTTTAAATTCTATTTATCCCTGGACTGCTTTAGCTCACTGAACACATGTCTTTGCCTGGAGCTGGTGTGGCTAGTCCAGAAGCACGAGTAGAATTAGAGTTAAATTATTCCTTCCCGCATGCGTTATTATGTACTTCCAGTTGTGAATTTCAGATACTGGTATGAACTTTCTGAAGATATTTCCTGATTCCTGCTCTGATCATCTCAGTGATATGTAACTGTGACACACTGGGAGCACCTTTATCAAACTGTGCCCCCAACCCAGTCCACTGGCTCACCTGCGTCCTCTGCGCTTCAGCAGGGCGCCACGTGATGCTCCCAGGTGTCAAACCCTGGTGGCGTGCATCGCACACGGCCCTTCCACGTCCGCACTCGCGAGCTCCTTTGTCTTTAGCCAGAGTCAGCCTGGCTGTTCTAAGTGCAAGTCTTGACTTTCAAAGCTGAAGAGAAAAAGGGTACACTCTTTGCAAAGAAAAATATATTACTTGCAAAGAAAATAGACTTATTCTAATGTTGCGGTCCACTTTCTCACCTATAATACAAAGGGTTAGAAGGCAGTGAGAAAACATCCATACCCAGAAAGGACAGGCTGGTGACCTAAGAATCTTATGTGCAGCTAAGATATCATCCACGTATGAGGGTAAAATGGTAGCATTTTTGTACGTGGGAGGACTTAGCATGTGTCATGAATCCTATCTGAAGAGAATACTAAGGCACATAATTTAATCAAACGACAATTCAGAACAGATTTCAAGATAGAGGAAATAAGGAAAAAAGGAAAACATTGTGAGCAATAACTCTTGCTAAATATATGTGTTTAAATAAAAAATGGGCACTTGAAGTGGAGGCATTATATAAGAATTCTTGACACATCTGAGATTATGTTCTAAGGGAAGATGTAACAATGATATAAGCTATCAGTTATCAGTTAAATGCAGTTAAGTAATATCTAGGTTTTTAGGGCCAACAGATAGAAAGCATGAGGGAAATAAATTCCTTAATCTTTTCAGTAAATGTTTTTAAGTCACATGCTTTGTATGCTTTGTTTTAGTCCCTGATGCTGACACATTCATCATTTTATGGTATGTTTATTCTGGGAGGAGACCCACAATAGACAAACTGACAAGTAAACAAGATAATTTAAAAGAGAATTAGATGCCATGAAGGATTTAAAACAGGCTAATTATGTAGCAGTTGAGAAGTCAGGGTTGTTCCTTAGAGGATGACGGGGAGTGTCTCGGAAACGTGGCGACTTCGGGTCTGAGGCCCGAAAGGGGAGCGGCAGCAAGGCTGAGGGCGGCGGCCTCCTCGCTCGCTCGCTCGCTCGCTCGGAAGGCTCCTCGCCCAGTGACGGCCGTTTCCTCAGCGGTGGGTCAGCCGCACACCTGGGGTCGTGACGCCGTGCATGTGGAGAACTCTGGAACCGGGACTTCCCTGACCCTTAAGAGGGCGAGGAGGCTGGCGGGCTGCCTTAGGGACTGCAGAGTCCGAGGCGGACCGCGCGGGCTTTCGTGGAGGGCTGGCCTCCCCGCCCGCCCCGGGGCCGCTGCGCGCGCTTCCCGCCTTCCCTCGCGCGGGTTCCCGCCTTCCCTCGCGCGGGTTCCCGCCTTCCCTCGCGCGGGTTCCCGCCTTCCCTCGCGGGTTTCCGCCTTCCGGGAAACCTCGAACCAGACCTGAGTGTTGCGTGAGCCAGTGAAGAAGCATCACAATGCGACTAACGGGAGGCTCAGAAGCCAGAGAAGTAAAGCAGAACGTTCAGAATGTGCTTCTGTTTTTAAATTAAAGAAAAATGAATGGGAAAAGTACAATATAAGTGCGAAGTGATACTACTGAAATTAGTAGTAGGGAGATACTGTAAGAAAATCCTAATAAGTATAAGCCATATCTGCAAAACCTAGTACTTGAAAGGCAAGACAGGAAACAAAAGAATTTCAAAGTACCTAGGAGAAGGGAAGGATGAGGGAGAGAAAGACATTATCTTATTAAAGTGGGGAAGGAAGGAAAGAAAAATAGTAGGATACAATGTAAGACACATTACATCATCATGGGGAAGAGTTGGTATCTTGTTTTAAATATTGTAGAGTTATATGTATTTGATTATCAGTGCAGGCAGTCAATGATTAGTAAAATAAGGTTTGTCAGAATTTTCAGAGAAAGGGGGAATGATAGAACAAGAAGCAATTTGATCAGGAAAAAATAAGAAAGAAAAAGAAAAAAATACAAAAATAAAAGGCATGAAGTCAAGTATTTCACATACAACAATACATAGGAATGGTTCAAATTTTCCCATGTGAAATTTTCAGTTCCAGTTAAGACGTACCTCAAATTAATGTTCTTTACAAAAAACACATAAGTAAAATGATGATGGAAAGGTTAGTAATAAAGGAATAGGCAAATAATTGCCAGGCAGATGCAAACCAAAAGAAATCAGATGGTAATGACAATAGTAATAAAAGTGGAGTTGATGGTTAAAAGCATTAAAATATGACATAAAATGACAAAAGGCAAGACGTACAAAGGAGGTACGTATGTAAGGAAAATTCTTAAAGGCTGTAAATTGTGAGAAAGCAAGAAACCAAAGAGGGGAGGAAGGATATCTGCTGATTCTTGATGGCTTAGAAATTGTAATTTAATGTGCCACATGTAGGTGACTGGAGGCTTGGTGTTTATACAAGGTAGATGTTCTAAGATAAAGCTGGAATCCACAAAAAGTGACATTCTTAGTTAACTAGGAATAAAAACCTGATCCTCAAAGGGAGTCAGTAAAGGGATCCTTTGTTCTTCCCCTCTCAGCTTTAGTTCTGGGAGGGGGAAAACCCTGCAGATTCCTCAGCAAAAGCTGGCTTTACAAGAGTAGCATCAAAACCCAACCTATCTGTGTGAGTAGAATCAAAATTCAACCTGTATTACTCAAAAGAATCTGAACCTGGACATTTAGCTCAAAGTGGTCCTGGGTTATAGTAAATCTAAAATTGTGCAAGGTCTGAGATTTTACCCTATTTTCAAACTAGTAAGTTACCCTGTCAGAGATTTTATCAACAGATCTAACAGGAAATATGAGGACCCTGGATAAGAACAGATTGCATATTACACAGCATTTAGCATGGGTTCCTCAAACCACAGTCCCCACAGGACGATATGTTGGTAACATGACATTCCCCTGAAGTGTGGTTGTGTCACAGAAGAGGAACCCCCAAACCATGAGAATCAGAGCCTGTTTAGGGTGGCTGGCACAGTAGCCCATCCTTCCCTGGGGGACTAGGGGACAGTGATAAAACAGTTTACTGTGAAATGTAAGCAAAGGGAGGGAGATAAGTTTCTGAATCTCTTTGGAGCCATACTCTATCTGTAGCTCCCAAAGCATGTTTTCTATTCTGTTATTTAACCAACTTTTTAACTCAGCCCAGACTACACAGAAATGTGAGAATATTCATGGAAGATTGTTTCACAATGGGATAGGTATGGTTCCAAATGCCTAGGGAAAGCTATAGCAAAACATTTCTTGAGGAATGCATCTTCAGCCTAGAGTTCAAGATTATCCTATGATAACTTTCCAAAAAAGATGAACTTACACTCAACTATGAAAGACCAATTATGAAACAAAGGAAGCTATCACAAATTAGCTGAAACAGAAAACTAAAAGAATCACAAAGTTTGAAAATACTAGAATTTATATACTTGTAATAAAAACTGAATATTTACTATGTTTAAAGAAGAAGGCATATCTAAATTATGATCAAACAGTAAGTCTGTAAAAATGACCATGTAGTAAAATAGCTGCATAGAATTTATAGAGATAAAAATTTTAATTGAAATGAAATTTTATTGAATAGTTTAAAAAGTTTAGATAGGGCTGAAGAGAGAATCAACCAAAAACAGACTTAACCAATGGAGAGACAAAGCAATAAGAAATTCTATTTATTAATACTTATTTGTAATTGGAATTCTGGATGGAGTAAGGAGAATGAGGGACACAAAGTATTAGAACAGGTAATGGATAAGAATTTTTTAGAATTGCTGAAAGATAACATCAGATTCAGAAAGCCCAACACACTCCAAGAAGGATAAATAAGTAGACATATAAAACTAGACATTAGGTAGAAAAACTACAGATCGGCGAAAGGGAAGCAATAAGGAATGATGGATTGGTCGAGGGCTAGTCAACAACAATACAAACAAAGCAGGACAAAAATATCCTCAAAGACCTGAGAGAGAGAAAAAAAGTTTATATAACCACTAAGTATAACTACTTTTCAAGAATGTGAGCAAAATAAAGATATTTCATAGACAAATAAAAGTTTATTCCAATTTTTAGTGTATCTAAAACATGTACTCCATAAAAAATAAATTTGAAAAGCAAGCATTAAAAATTTTAAAAAGGTCTAGGAAAGAAATATGCAAACAAATGCTAACTAAAAACATTATATAAAGTGTCTAATTTTTGAATTTTAAAAATAGCTAAAATAGGGGCAGAAATCACCTATTAGGCAAGAGGTAGACTAGAGTTAAAGATGGCAGGTTAGAGTTACTATATAGGAGAAAAAGTAAAAACATGCATTCTAAATTTTTAAAATATATGCTTATTGAATTATTTTAGGACAGCTCTGAAAGGATAGAAATAGAATAAAACAACTAATGGAAAAAGGAAATAAAGGGCAGAACTCAAACCAAATTTTAAAAAGCAACATAAAAGCAAATGGAAAGCAGTATTTTAGAAATGAATCATGTATTAGTAATAACTATAGAATATATAGTAACTCCCCACTTAAAAGACCTTTGGCTTTTAATTAGTAGACTAGATTGAAAAGAAGAACAAAATATAGCTTTTGTTTATAAAAGACACAATTAAAATATTAGGATACAGATATATTTGAAATAGAAAAAGACATTAATGAAAGCTGGTACAGCTATTCAAATATCACAAAATACAGTCTTTAAAACAAAAAGAAAATTGTTCAAGATAGTATCACACTCCATATTGATGAAGGATTCAAATCCCTAGGAAGACAAAACAACTCTAAACTTTTATATACCTAATAGCTTCAAAATATGGAAAGCAAAAATTGACAGAAGCACAAAGAAAATAATGACCTTTACCATCATGTGGTAGGCTCTAATTAATACAAACTATCTCTGTAGTTGTCACATCAGGCCGACAATATATAGGGATATAAAAGATTCGAACAACACAATTAGCAATATTGATCTAGTAGCCATATATAGAGCACGGAACAAAACAATTGAAGAATGCATATCCTTCTCAAACACACAGGAAACATTCACATCAACTGACCATTTAGGAGGCCCTTTGCCAAAGATATATTTCAAATGATTGCAATTATACATACCACACTTTACCACAATGCAATCAAAATGGCTAACAGATAACTGTGAAGACTCCCATGGCAGAAAATGCTAATAATCCTCTAGTATCCATTCTCCCCTCTTTCTTTCAGGGCTAGAAATTGTGGAGGTCTGGCTAGGAGCACGGTGGCTTTGCCTGCCTTGCAGCTACGTCTGGAGGTCAAGTTCTGGAGGTCAAGTTCTGGAGTGCAAGTGTGCTAGATTTGACTTCCTGGTGACCACTTTCCTAGTTTGAAAAAGAAAATGGCTCTTAATCCGTTATTTCTCTTTGCTGCTGCCCACAGTGGGGCGCGGGCGCAGCGCGGGGAGCCAGGCCCGGCCGGACAGCAGGGCAGGCGCGCTCAGGGCAGCAGTCACGGTCGGCCCTCCTGCCTGCCTCTGAGTGAGAAATAGTTTGTCCTTGTTTTGAGCCACTTTATTTTTGGTGGCTATGTTAAGCAGCTTAGCTTGTATCATCACTAATTCAGATTCCCACATATATGGAAATAAAAAATGCTTCTAAATAATTTAGAAGTCAAAGAAGAAATAAATCATAATGAAGGCTAGACTATACATAGAACTAAAGAGCAATAAAAGTATATATTTTTGCCTCCTTATATATGTGTATGTGTGTCTACATATCTTGTGGGATGCCATGAAAGCAGTACTTAGATGGAAATTTATAGCCTTAAGTGCTTTTACAATAGAAAAGCAGAAAAGCTGAAATTTCATAAGCTAAGCATCCAGTTTAGAAAGTTGGAAAAGGAACAATAGAGTAAATGCAAGGAAAGTAGAAATAAGGATATAATAAGCAGGCAGACAAAAAACTCAAAAAGGATCAATAAGTAAAAAATTGTTTCTTCGAACCCATTAATAAAAGTGGCAAACCTTGGGCAAAGTGATCAAAGAGAAAAAGAGAAAACTATGGAAATTAGAGAAAGGAAAGGGGACATAGAACAGATGTGG